CTGGACAGCTCCCTGCTTTCCTGCTTATCCCTCTCTGAGATTGTAACTTGCTTATCTCCTTGGGAGAATTACCTTCTCTGAAAGGACAGAAGAAAAATCTCTGAATATACATATATATAAGAGGGATTTGATCTTCAGTTCTTCAGAATCAACTTGATGTCATGAACCCTTCAATCACTTCTTCCATGGCAGTTGCCATTGCTGACTTTTTATCCCAGAAGTTGCCATTGCTGACTTTTTAATCCTTGCTGACTTCCGCCATTGCTGACTTTTTAATCCCAGAAGTTGCCATGTGGGATTGTTCCTTCTTCTGGACTCCCTTTTCCTATTATGTTTGGGCTTGTGAGGCCCAAATCAGTCTTGTTTGCTCTGATGAGCCTTGGGCTGGACTCTCCTGGTTTTTTGGGCTTCCTTCTTTTCACTGGGCTGGATGTGTCAATTTTTGGCCCAAACATGTTCTGAAATCAATATCTTTTGTTTAAGTTTCAGCATATTGATTAAAGTTTGAAGCTTTTGGTTTTAGGAAAGTGTAAAGGAATATTTAATTCATGTGCTTACATATGGGTTGGACCTTGCTTTCTTGTATAAAGAACTACGTGTGGTTTGATCCCTCAGACAACCTAGGTTAACCTAGGTGCAACCGCAAGTTTATAATTGCGTTGTTATGTTCAGTTTTGTAAAGTTGAATTTGCTGAACACTTGAGAAATTATTTGAGTTCACTGTGCAGGTAGATTTCTGAGTTTGAGCCTTTTTGAGGAAGATTGATATGCAAAGAAGTAGAAAGTTTGGATTTGGATTTGAAGAGAATGAGAGGAGGAGGTTCTAGAAATTCAAAGAAGAAGAGAGAGAGAGAGAGAGAGAGAGGAATAACATTTCAGTTTTTATTTCATGACTATTATTTCAATTTTCTATTATTTATTTATTTATAACGTACAAAATGACTATTTTACCCTCATATTTAACGACAAATTGGATGAAATGTTGCGGATTTAAGGGGGGGAATTGGTGAAGAAAAAAATAATCATATACTTAATTTTCTATAAAATAAAATAAAAAAAGATAAGGGGTAAATTGAAAGTTAGGTATAAGTTCAGAGGGCAAATCATTAGTATACCCATGTAGTTATTTTCTCATCTGGACGTCCACACGTTATTATTGTATGGATAACGTGCGGAAGTCATTGTAAACAGGAAGGAGAACAGGGAGGGGTAGTAGAAAATACACAGTATCGGCACGATAATAAAATCCGGATGTCCACATAGGAGAATTTTTGTATATATATAGTTGAATTATCTGGAATGGGAACTCAATAAATATATTTGTCGTGTTACCATAACACAAGTGAATTCGTTAATTCAGTGGTGAAAATTATCCATTAGTGTTGGAGGTTAGGGGTTGGAAACTTCATAACCTTCTCGAAACCCCATACCTTCGACTTTTGCTAATATTTCTTATTTTAATTGTGACGGCCGGATTTTCGGTTCAATTTGCACACTAGTCAGCTCAAAATTTAGGCAACGGCATCGTTAATTCAGTGGTGAAAATTATCCATTAGTGTTGGAGGTTAGGGGTTGGAAACTTCATAACCTTCTCGAAACCCCATACCTTCGACTTTTGCTAATATTTCTTATTTTAATTGTGACGGCCGGATTTTCGGTTCAATTTGCACACTAGTCAGCTCAAAATTTGGGCAACGGCATAAAAATATTCCTAAACCCCCTTTTTTTTTTTTTTTTTTTTTCTGTCTTTTATGACAAACAATCAGACAAACATCACCGTTCTTTATTAAATCCATCCATCTCCGAAAATTTGAAAACAGAGACAAATATATATATATATATATATATATATAATAATTAAAAAAATGCAGGCAAAAAGGCCATAAATGAAAATTTGAAAAGAAAATTAAAAAGAAAATACTAAAATTATAATAGCGAAGCTCTTGGACTCGGTGGGTGGGAGGTGCGAAATCGAGGGCTTTCCTCTACTCTCAGACTCTCTCTCTTTCTGTCAAACACACACATTTCTTTCCCTCTTTTCTCTCTGTTGGATTTTCTTTCTGAAATTCCATCGATCTGTAAGTTATTTTTATTTATTTATTTCAATATACAGTTTTCTCATTTTTAACGCAATGCGTTGAATGCAAGCAAAAGAAAAAAGAAAATCTGCGATCTTGTTTTTGCTTGATTTGTCACTGTAGAATTTGCAGGGTAGCTCAGGAACCCTAGATCTCATTCATTTCGGGGTTGTATTATCTTCTTGTTAGGCTTGAATTTTTTTAAATTGGTGATTCTGAGATTGGTTTTTGCGTGTTTGGCTCTGGATCTCGGGTTTTTCGTCGTGTTCGAGCTCCAATTTCGAGGCTTTTTTGGACTCTGAGGGGTGAATTGCCTGTGGGATTTGGTCGATGGCTTCAAATCCTCCATTTCAGGTGGAGGATCAGACCGACGAGGATTTCTTTGATAAATTGGTTGAAGATGACCTGGGGCCCGCCGAATCAGGCCCCAAATGCAACGAAGGAAACGATTCCGATGACGCTAAGGCATTCACCAATCTGAGTAGTGGTGATTCTGTAGCAGCTGTATCTGAGGATTCTGGTGCCAATGCCAAAGCCAAAGACGACGAAAATAAGGCGTTCGCCAATCTGACTATTGGTGATTCTGCAGCTGTATCTGAGGATTTGGGTGCCAGAACCAAAACAAAAGATGAAATAGGTCCTGATGAGTCGAATTCATTCGGGTTCCGTAATGTAATAGAGTCGAAGAATTCGGTTATTGATGACGGAGTGATTCAGTCCAATAATGATGGGGCGGGATCTCAATTGACGTCAGATTCCAGAATGAGCAAGAGCAACGATTCTGGAGCTTCAGGGGTGAAGGAGATAGGGTGGGGTTCGTTTCATGCTGATTCTGCAGAAAATGGGATTCATGGGTTTGGATCGTACTCAGATTTTTTCAATGAATTGGGAGATAGTTCTGGGGATTTCCCCCCGAAAGTAGACGGAAATTTGAGTACTAAATCAAAAACTGCACCCAGTAATGAAGATCATACAGCACAAGGTTTGAACCATTCGGTTAATAACGAGCAATATCAAGAGGGCCAAGCTTATGGAGCAACTGTGGAGGAAAGTAGAAATGAGCAGGATCTAAATAGTACGGAGTATTGGGAAAGTCTTTATCCAGGGTGGAAGTATGACCCTAACACGGGGCAATGGTATCAAGTGGACAGTTTCGATGTGCCTGCAAATGCTGAAGGGAGCTTCGGCACTGATTCAGCCAGTGATTGGGCCACTGTTTCTGATAGCAAAACTGAGGTTTCTTATTTGCAGCAAACGGCTCATTCCGTTGCGGGAACTGTGACTGAAACTAGCACGACTGGTAGTTTGTCAAACTGGGATCAGGTCTCACAAGTGACTAATGGGTACCCAGCACATATGGTTTTCAATCCTGAATACCCGGGTTGGTACTATGATACAATTGCGCAAGAATGGCGCTCATTGGAGGGGTATAATTCCTCTCTGCAACCGACTGCTCAAGCCCAGAATGATACTAGTTTATATGGTGAGTACAGGCAAGATAGCAATTATGGGTCGCTAGGGGTTGGTAGCCAAGTTCAAGACAGCAGCTGGGCTGGGTCTTATAGTAATTACAATCAACAGGGTTCAAATATGTGGCAAGCTCAGACTGGAACTAACAATGAGGCTTTTTCAAGTTTTGGTGGAAACCAGCAGATGAGTAATTCGTTTGGTTCAACAGTCAACAAGGACCAGCAGAAGTCATTAAATTCTTTCGGAGCAGTTCCTTTGTACAACAAAGCGAGTCAAGGTCATGGTGAGGCTAATGGGACTGTCGGGTTCCAAAGTTTCCTCCCAGGTGGTAACTTTAGCCAGCAGTTTAATCAAGGAAATGCAAAGCTGATCGAACAAACACAATTCTCAGATGATTACTATGGCAATCAGAAACCTTTAAATTATTCCCAGCAACCTTTCCAGAGTGGCAATCAGTTTTCGTATGCTCCCAGCGTAGGAAGATCATCTGCTGGGCGTCCTCCACATGCCCTAGTAACTTTCGGATTTGGTGGGAAACTCATTGTAATGAAGGACAATAGTAGTCTCACGAATTTGTCATATGGAAGTCAGGTGAGGCCTCGAAACCTTCTCTCTTTAAGATAAATTAAGGCTCCATTTGGTTGACAAAAGGCTGATGGAAGGAAATAAAAATCCAAATTTTTTCGAAGTGGTTATTTGATCTTCCACTGGTTTCCTGAATAGAGATAGAAAGTTTGAAACTAGAAAGAATCGTTTTATCGATTGATAACCTGTATTAGGTACTGACTTGATTTATGTTTGGTCCCAAATTCCTTCTCAGACTTGTGGCCAAATGGAGCGTACAACTTTTCTGTTTACATTGTTCCATGAAAGGCCTAATTATGCATGTTTTATTGTTATGTGAAGGATCCTGTAGGAGGCTCAGTTTCTGTCCTGAACTTGATAGAAGTTTTTACGGAAAAGACTGATGCTTCAAGTTTTGGAATGAGTACTTGTGATTATTTTCGTGCTTTGTGCCAACAATCCTTCCCAGGTCCCTTGGTTGGAGGGAGTGTTGGAAGCAAAGAGTTGAACAAATGGATGGATGAGAGGATTGCTAACTGTGAATCATCAGAGATGGACTACAGGAAAGGCAAAGTATTGAGGTTGCTTCTTTCTTTGCTTAAGATAGCTTGTCAACATTATGGAAAACTTCGATCTCCTTTTGGAACCGACAATGTATCGAGGGTAAATCACATTCCTGTCCTTTGGTACTTGTAGCTTTTGAAACTTCTCTTAAGTTGAACTCTATTTCTTTTAAGTTATCCTGCATTTAGTCACGCATATTGTCACCTCTTTCTCTGTGTGTGTGTTTGTGTGTATTTATGTGAGATAAAGGCATCTCTTCCCATGAATGGTTTCTCAACTTTTCTCCTAGCCAGAGTATTTTTTAAGAGCCACATAGAGATATGACTAATATGTATCTTGTATACTTTTGGGCTTCTCTTGTGATAGGAAAGCGACACTCCAGAATCAGCAGTTGCTAAACTTTTTGCATCCGCAAAGAGCAATGGTGTACAATTCAGTGAATATGGTGCTTTTAGTCACTGTGTGCAGAAAATGCCTTCAGAAGGACAAATGCAGGTATGGATAAACAACTCTGATAACAACTCCCCTTCTCTCTAAATTATCAAAATTTTCATTTTGTAATAGGGTGGTTGTATGTCCTAGGCAACTGCTTCTGAGGTACAAAATCTTCTGGTTTCTGGTAGAAAGAAAGAGGCTTTACAATGTGCACAAGAAGGTCAGTTGTGGGGACCTGCGCTTGTTATTGCTTCACAGCTTGGGGAACAGGTTTGTTGGCCATTGATGCTAAATTCGAAGACTTCAATCAGATGTTACTTTCTTGAGGTACATTGTCAGTTTATACTGAAGGATGCACTCATCTCACCCTTTTTTTCTCTTCCTTTTCCTCTGGTTGGGATGGCGGCTTGGAACAACTTCAGTTTTATGTTGATACTGTGAAGCAAATGGCACTTCGTCAGCTGGTTGCAGGATCACCCTTGCGGACATTATGCCTGCTCATTGCCGGGCAACCTGCTGAAGTGTTCTCTGCTGACACTACATCTGAGATCAATCGACCCGGTGCTGTTAATACCCCTCAACAACCTGCACAAGTGAGATATCTATTTAAAAACTGCTCATTGGGATAGGCTTTAGCGATTTATATACAATACTAGCCAACTCACCTGTTTTTAGTTTCCTTTAGAAAGTGAATAGACAAACAAAAGTAATTATGCATTTAGTTTCAACAGCAATTAAAAGAAAAGAGGAATCACACTAAAGCAAGAGAGGAGGTTCGTATAAAGGAAGCAAGCTAGAAGATTAGAAGACAGTTGCTTCTTGGATCAATATGTTGCTTCTCATAGCTATATACATGTAGTGTAGTTCATTTAGGGACATCCGATCAAATTTGAACATAGCATTACCTGTAGTGCTGCACTTGGTAGTACGATTGGAATAAGTTCTCTAATTTCATCTTCTTTTTCTGAATTCTTTAGCAGTACGTTTGCCTTAAAATGCTTTTTGTTTCTGTTATGCAACTACAGTTTGGTGCAAATAAAATGCTTGATGACTGGGAGGAGAATCTGGCTGTGATAACTGCAAACAGAACAAAAGATGATGAACTCGTAATTATTCATCTTGGAGATTGCTTATGGAAGGATAGGAGTGAGGTATGATACTGTTACATGTAACCTTTTTCCTTTATGTATGTTAACTTTTTATCACTTAATCGGACATGAGTTGTGTATCAGATTACTGCAGCACACATCTGCTATTTAGTGGCAGAAGCAAATTTTGAGTCATACTCCGATAGCGCAAGACTATGTCTAATTGGAGCAGATCACTGGAAATCGCCTCGAACTTATGCTAGTCCGGAGGCCATTCAGGTGCTTTTCGAATGCTGCTATCTTTTATGCATTATCTCTTCATTTTATTCTTCAGAAACTTCTCCTTGTGCTAGTTATTTTTTGGTGCCTGGATCGTGCCTGAATGCACGCTTTAATGCAGCAGTGCGAATCTGGACTCCAAGTAACTTTGTATGGTAGCTTTATCAGAGATTTCAGGGTTGAAAGTTAATGTTTTTTTGTAACATCCTTAAATCATAGCATAAGCCAGGTCTTGGACACTAGATCAACAGTGTCTTATCTCATTTGTCTCTCTTTTTAGTGTTTTCCCCTCCCCTAATTCCTAATTCAATTTTTTTGACCCTAACCTGTTCATTTATCTTTCTTCTCTACTTGATCTTTATTTTCTTTTATTTTACCCTTTGAGCGAAAAGTAACGACTTCCTAGTCACTTATAGCTTCAATATAAATTCTCTCCTTCAAAACTGATTCTTATTTGCTTGTTCATATGCAATGAGACATAATAATTGCTTAACAAGAGTCTTGTATTAATTCCTTTAAGCAATGCTTTCTGGAGTCTATACTCAGTTTGCCCTTATGGTCTTTTGACAGAGGACTGAACTATATGAATATTCAAGGGTGCTTGGAAACTCTCAGTTTATCCTTCTACCATTTCAGCCATATAAGCTCATATATGCGCACATGCTTGCCGAAGTTGGAAGAGTTTCTGACTCGTTGAAGTAAGCATGTGCATTTTTCTTTTATTTGGTGCTTTCTTTCACATCTGTTTTTCTTAACAAAGTGCATGTAATACAGGTACTGTCAAACAATACTAAAGTCTTTGAAAACCGGAAGAGCACCAGAAGTGGAAACGTGGAAGCAGCTAGTATTATCTCTTGAGGAGAGGATTAAAACCCATCAGCAGGTAGTTCTTTGTCCTATTGTTTGTATGTTCATCATTTTCAAGCTAATATGACTAATCCCTCTGAATGCACATTCCATTTTCAGGGTGGATACTCTGTAAATTTGGTTTCTACAAAGTTTGTAGGTAAATTGCTCAACTTGTTTGATAGTACTGCACATCGTGTTGTTGGGGGCCTACCACCACCTGCACCATCCACATACCAAGGAAGTACTCAAGGTAATGACCATTACCAGCAGCCAATGGGCCCCAGAGTATCTGCTAGTCAATCAACAATGGCCATGTCGTCGTTAATTCCTTCTGCTTCAATGGAACCCATAAGTGAGTGGGCAGCTGATGGCAATAGAAAGCCAATGCATAATAGAAGTGTTTCAGAGCCAGACTTTGGTAGAACTCCAAGACAGGTGTGTAAAATTCTCCATGTGTAAAGTTCACTCATGCGTGCACACACCTGCTCAGTGCATTACAACACCCATATATGCAATTAATCACCTCTTTGATTTCTGTGTGCTTGATTATATTTTTTGACATCTCTTCTCATTCTGAGTTCAGGTTGATTCATCAAAGGAAACGGCTTCACCTGATGCCCAAGGAAAAGCCTCAGGGGGTACTTCTCGCTTTGCTCGTTTTGGTTTCGGGTCACAGCTGTTGCAAAAGACTGTGGGTCTAGTCTTAAGACCTCGTCCAGGCAAACAGGTAGTTTTTACTTTCATATATTACGGTTTCCTTCATCCCCCCTCCCCTTCTTTATCTTTTCTTTTTCTCATAAACAATTTTGAGAAAGAAGTACAGATGTTGTCTCTTCTGGTTAATCATCACTAACAAATTTTCTACCTGTTACTGAAGGCTAAGTTGGGTGAAACAAATAAGTTCTACTATGACGAAAAACTTAAGAGATGGGTTGAGGAAGGTGTTGAACCCCCAGCTGAAGAAGCTGCCTTGCCTCCTCCTCCGACAACTACGGCCTTCCACAATGGTGTGTCTGATTACAACTTGAAATCTGTTTTGAAGAAAGAAGGGTCTCCCACTAAGGGCAGCCCAGATTTACAAACTTCAACCCCTCCAGGACCAACTTCAGGAACCCCACCTATTCCACCCAGCTCAAATCAATTCTCAGCTCGTGGACGGTTGGGTATTCGGTCCAGGTAAATAAGTTTGCTCTGTCTCTCTCAACCAAACTTCCAACCCCCCTCATGTTGTGCATTAAGTGAAGGTCATCTTTAATTTCCTTGGTTGAATTACTATAATTCCCTTCTGTCCTTCTTGCTAGAACTGCTTGAAAACTTGAAAATTTGAAGAGAAATGCCCATCCCTTAAATAGCTGGTGGTATAATATTGTTTGAAACAAACTGGGAAATTTATTTTGGGAGCACAGACTTCCACTCCACCAGGGTTTTCTTTGCAGAACTGAAGAACCAGATCATCCAACCTAACTACCAATCAACTTGGACGTGATTTTGGCCATTAGAAATTTATGTGGATTTTTTGAACCCAAGAAGTTAATATTTCTAAAGTTCTCTCAATTTAAATCCTTTCATTCAAAAGGTTTTTTTTTTTCTCTGGGACTGAGTTTTCACAAGCCCTTTGCAGAGCAAAGTCAATGTTATGTCCTTTCACCAAAATTTCCACTATTCATCAAATGAGGGAATGAATTTGAGTTGACTATATTGTTTGTGGAATTTTGGCAGATATGTTGACACATTCAACCAAGGTGGTGGAAGCCCAGCAAACTTGTTCCAGTCACCTTCTGTTCCATCAGTTAAGCCTGCTGTGGCTGCCAATGCAAAGTTTTTCATTCCCACCTTAGGATCATCAAGTGAACAGACTATGGAGGCTATAGCTGAAAGTGTGCAAGAAGATGTTGCAACTAAAGAAGTTCCCTCAACATCTGCTAGGAATGACCCATTCCAGACTCCTCTGCCCCCATCTTCAACGACCATGCAAAGGTTCCCGAGCATGGGTAATATTCATGGCATGGAAGTTGCTACAAATGCTAATGGCTCTGTTCCACCCCACTCACGACGGACGGCCTCTTGGGGTGGAAGCTCCAATGATGTATTTAGCCCTCCTCCCAAAATGGGGGAAATAAAACCTCTAGGGGAGGCATTAGGCATGTCCCCAGCTATGTTTAGGCCTAGTGAGCCTTCTATGATGCGCGTGCCAATGAATGGTGGCAGTTTTGGTGATGATCTTCATGAAGTGGAACTTTGAGCCGAAGTAATGAAGATGTAAATATCAAGTTTTGCTCCTAGTGATCAATACAATACTTGTGATGTTCCTGCTCCTGCATCTCTCAAAAAGTCAAAATGGTGGGTATGTATGTGCCAGAAGTAAGTTCCATAGAACAATTATTTTCGTTTTCAAAATCCCTACTCCCCACCCTAACATGTTGTATGTTCAGATGTAATTGGCGCAATTCCTTTATTCTCGAGCCAATATTTTATTTTAATGCCCGGGGAGTTGCCACCATTTATGGCTTGGGAGCTGGTTTTTTTTATTTTTTATTTTATTTTTTTTTTTTTTCTGGTTTCCTTTGACAAAAAAGCCTGCATGGGCGCCATTGTACAGATCATTTTTTCATTTGTTTAAAAACAGTAAACGTTCCTTGAAGTAGATAAAAGGGTCTACAGATCTTCTCAAGGGAAAAAGATAGTGTATCGAATTGAGAGAAAAATAAGATGCCTTGTTTTGTTCTTTGGTTTTGTATTGCTATTACTTTGTGACATTGAATAAATGTTAAAAAGGCCGGATTTTACTCTCTTTTCTTTTTTAAGTTGCAAAATATCCAGCAACAGTTCTTGATGAAAATAAGGAAAATGTCTTTTGGGCAGATTTCAGAGCTGAAATTAACCCACCTCCAATTAAGCAGTGGGGAAGATATATGTTAGCGAGTAAGTTTGGTTTCTCCTTTTAGTTTTTTGTTTTCTTTTTTGTGAGTGGAAGAGAAATTCCATTAACCCAAGAACATTACACAAGGCCGACGTGTTAACAATGGCTTTATTAAAACCTTCTCATGAGAACCACATGGGAAAACTCTCAAGTGAG